TTGAACTGGAGGGAGCACCCACTCCATGGCTGTGTGGACAAAAGGATGCAGCAGCAAAAGCACCCTGGTGACTCGACGACCCAAGAGGTGACCAAGGACAGGAGCTGGGGCTTCTCCCCTATCCAGGTGTTTCAGCTGCTCAGTTCAGAGCACAAGGCAAGCTAATGGGTCACAGTGGGATTTGGGAGGGATTCCTAGCTGACAGGGCGGTGGTGGGGCCACAAAGTCACCTTCCACTAGGAAGAGACCACTGCTACAGCAAGGGCTGGGGCCAAGGTCAGTGCTGGAGGGGGGTAGCTCGAACTGCCTAGATCTACCAAGAAGTGACCTGGGGGACACCTCTTGGACAGTAGGGCTGGGGAACCTCAGCTCATCCTTGGTGACCTATACCCAGCCATCTTTCATTTCAGTGATTCTAAAAAAGGGTACTCACCCTTGCTGGGCACCTGATGGGGGGGGGGATTCATACATGGAAAAACAGCTCCCATGGCCTGAGATGCACATCTAAGGCACATAAGTCATTTGGTGATACTAATAAAAATGGTGAGTCCGAGAAGCTGGGGTAACCTAAGTGTTTACATTTCTGATGCTTCTGAGCTACTAAGGTGTTGCAACCTGAACCTTGATGGTGGCAGGGGTCTAAGAGGTCACAGATCAACTCTGCCAACCACCTGGACAAGCATGAGGAGTCAGAGAGAAGGTGGTCTTGCAGACGATGGGCTCAGAGCTGGCCTGAACACTTGGGAGGTCCCATAATACTGAGGCAGATGCCAAGGCAGTCTCTCATAGCACAGTGCTGACCTCAGCCCCGCCTATGTAGGAGCTTCCAGAGTCCCCAAGCATCCCATCTCAGTTTCGAGGGGTGGGAGGCGATGTCTGAAGCAGGATACCCATTATAGGGCACAGGTGGCAGATCTTTCTGACCCTGTGCCCTCACTCCTGCAGCCTCCCAGGAGCTGAAAGGGCAAAGGCCTTTGAGGTTCAAAGAGCAATGGGCAAGGCTCTTGGGGGAGCTGGAACACGGTCTGCTGTGACTGTAGCAAGTGGAGGGGCCGTAGGACAGGAAATGAGGCTGTATGTGACCTGAGGTCAAATGGGGTTTCCTGGAATCACTGTGAAAATAGAGTTAGTTCTCCAGGAACCGGCAGTTTGGAGCTACAGCTGGGCACGGGGCACCCAGACCAGCCTTGGACCACTGATTCAGCTCTTACTGCTGCTACCCTCAGGTGAATGAAGCTGCCAGGGCTGTAAAAGTGGGAGGGGGTTCCATGTTCCTCTGAGTGGGGTTGGGTGGCCAGGCTCCTGGGCCAGTACTAATGCCTATTATAATCAAGGGAAGAGCAAGAGTTCTCTCCTCTCAGATCTGCTGGAAGGAGGTGGGCTCATCCAGGTGAAGCACCATGTGAAGCACTTCACAGCGCTGGGTCCCAGGAAGAGAAGCACCAATGCTGGCAGGCATCATTACCACTGTTACTACAGGGAGAAATGGCCTAGTTCCCAGAAGCCTCCTGGGTTTCTTCCAGGATTGTCTGGTGACAGAAGATGCTGCTGACATCTGGTCACTCTGGTCTGGGCTGCAGGGGATGAAATGGAATCGAAGCATTTCACTTTTGCCCTTTCTAGAGCCAGAGGTGGAGACACTGCAGACAAGCGAGCCCTGCAGGGTAATGCTGCCATGAACAGTTTTAGCCTATCAAGGGAGCTGGGAACAGAGTGCTTGTCTAGCATACACAAAGCCCTGTGCTCCCTTCCAAGTACCATGTAAACCAGGAGCAGTGGCGAATATATATAATCCCAGCTCTTGGGAGGTAGAGACAGGAGGATCCCAAAAGCAAAGGTTACCCTTTTGGCTCCACAGTGAGTTTAAGATCAGCCTGGATAAATAAGACCCTGCCCCAAAAAGAGAAATAAAAAAGAATGACCTATGGCAAGTGTGTGTGATGTTAGACAGAGATTTCCTGCATGGACCTTCTGCCCAGCCTGTACATTGCTGACGATCTGAGGATGTCTGGGTCTCCTCAATAGCAGAGCTATTCAGGTCTTGGGAGAACAAAGGGTGGATCCTAGGAGCTCTTGGGTCCTGCTAAGCTCTCTGTGTATGTTCAGGGCCAGGTGGGCCCACAGAGACCTGGTCATTGCCCCTTCTTCCTACAGCCTGGCAGTGCCTCTGCAGACTCTTCCTCAGCAGAGTTGGGCAGAGATGATATATAAGGAGCTGAGCCCCAGGAGACCAAGGAAGGGAGACAGGGAGATGTATCTCTCTGCTGGTTTGTCCCAGAGGCCCTTGCCTAGGCAGCTCCTCTCCCGTTGTCTGGGAGGTGATTCCTTGCTGGTCAGGAACAAAGGAAGTGGGGTGAGGAAACTCAAGCCTGGGTCTCTGTCCTGGAGGGAAGAGATGTTTACACTGGGTCAGGCAAAGGAAAAAATCCCATGTGGGCAACTCTGCCTCCAGAGCCCTGGGGACCACTGCTGCGGCGCATTTAGGCCGACACAGCACTCACCCAGGAATGTGATCTGCAGCAATGGAGTTTACAGACCAAATGTGCACTTGCTTCCTTGCTGATGCTCTGACTTCATCTTTGTTAGATTTTCTCCCCTTGCCTCCAGAAAGTTCCTTCACTGAGGCTGGGGTGATCTCCCCTTATGAGACACAGCACTGCACTCTGCAGGTTCTCAGAGATATGTCCTGGAGAGGCAAAGGAAAGCAGAACCCAGACAGGAAGACAGGCTGGCCCTGTATCCTCTGTCCACATGCAAAGTTGCATGGACACTCGTAGAACTGTGTGTGCCCGGGAAGTGCTCTGGAGGAGGGAAGCCAGCAGAGGAATGAGTACATTTCCTGCATGCTTTCTGACCTCAACACCACCCTTCACATCCTTGGCATCTGCCGGGGGTCTCCCAAGACAGCTGGGCCAGGAGAGGGCAAAGGGCAAACTAGCTTCCTGCATTCTTTCATTACTGGTTTGCTCCTGACCTTTCAAAATCACGGACCTGCCTATAAACTCTGATGCCAGCTGTGGGTGTGTACATCTGAATGCATATACATCTGCCTGGAGGTTCTCACAGCCTTGAGCCCCATATAGGCTAACCTTGTGGCTCTCGGTGTTCTGTGTTGGTGAAGGAAGAGGCATGACTGGCTGCAGACACTTCCCTGGGATTCTTCCCAGGGTGGACTTTCTTCCCATCTGGTATACTCTGTCGTTTTTCTATGAATTCCGAGTGTCCCTGGCTGATGGGAGGCAGTGTGACAGCCATGGCTGGTCAGGTTAAGAGTTTCTATCACCTCAGTCTCATCTGATAGGTGGCCTGCCTATCCTGGTGTGAGGTGGTGAGGAGTTGAGATTCAGAGCTCTGCGCCACGTAAGTCCCTTCATCTCTTGTCCCTAGGCTATGGACATTTGTTATCAAAAGACTCTCAGGGACCTGTAGGACCCTAACTCCTGTCTGGTGACCACAGTAGTTTCCTGGCCCGTGCCCGCAGTGGCAGGAACCTATGTCTTAGTTATCACTTCTTTGTGCACAGGAGGAAGAGAAAACAGACGAAGGGAAAGATCACAGGTATCCCACCCCAGCCAAGGTTGGGCTGCCTCACATAGCCTTCTGTTGCTACACCTTAAGGATGCTTATCTTCTGGGGAGGGAGGACTGAGGACTCTTTGCCTAGGCTCCTCCCTCCCCTTCTAAGATAAGCCTTCCTTTTCTCTCCCTGCCTCAGCCCCGTTCCCACTTCCTGATCTGTACCCTACACTTGATCTCTGGCATCTCTGCCATCTGCCCCCACAACTTTAGGCTGGCCCCAATGTACTGACTTGGAGACAGATTTGGAGAATGAACTCCTGAGCTGAGGGAAAGGAGACAGAGCTATAGCAGGGGCCTGGCAACAGGATATGGGAGCTGTTTCCCTGACCACAGCTACTGACTGCCCAGGGGAAACTGGTCTCCTGAGCAAGGAAGTGATGGCATCCTGGGGAAATGGGAGAGACGAAGCCAGGCTGTCAGCCAGAGCCCATCACTGCTCTCCTGTGTTTGGCAGAGCAGGCAGCAGGGAAGCCTGAAGCAGGGTTCCCATGTGCCTCCTACTGCAGGGCTGGGTAGGTCTCCTGTCATGGGCAGGTGTCCTCAGTCCACAGACTTCTGTGATATAACCTGGCATGTTCTAGGGTACACCGAAGCCTGTGGAACTCTGATAACACTCAAGTTCTCAGACCCTGGGCCTGGTGTCTGGTTAAAGAGCTGAGGGGTTGCTACTGGGGCAGGGTAGGTGTTCTATGGGTCTGCAACCAGGGACCAATATACTACAGAGCTGTAGGAGGGAACTCACTGAAAGGCCCTAGGTCTAGGTAAAGATAATGAGGTCCTGGTGCCTAGACATCATGAGGAGTTCAATGGACAAAGATCCAGCAGACACTCAACTCAAGGGCACTTTCCTACCAACCCATGTCCCTGAGCCCTTTTAAAGATCACATGGCTGAGGGAGGTGTTGTCTGCCTGGGAGTGGAGGAGCTGGGCAGTGTGTGGCCAGGGAGACGAATCCCCTGCCTTCTGGAAGGGACCTGAGGGGCAAATACTAGGAATGCCTTGGCTACCTCCACCTTCAAGGATGGCCTGGAAACAGCCCGTTTGAATTATGCTGTCTCTTGCCTGGGTTGCCTGCCACACAGAGAGCTATTCTGAGTTCAGTGAGAAGGAAATGGCTGCTGAGCCTTCTTCCACCTGTGAGACCCAAGACCAAAGGCCCTGGCTGCCTGTCAGTGGAGATGCTGGCCCAGAAGGTTTTGTGCTTAGTCATGGTTGAAAAGCATCAGAAGTACCAAAGATGAGGGAAAAGCTTGTGAGGGTCTCTTTGGGGGCCTCTTTGTGGTTGAAGATCATGGCAGGAAATCCATGGACCCTCACACATGGCAGGACAAGGGGCTCATGAACAACAGCCTGAAGGACCCCCTTCAGGACAAGACTCAGCACTAGTGTTTCTCAGTCCCTTTCCCTCAAGGGAAGACTTACTGGGAGGGTTCAACAGGTTGGTTCTGCTGGAGGTAGGCACCTGAAGCTCTGAGTGACTGACTCGGAGGTCAGGGCCATCAGGTGCGCCTGGGTCATCCGTCTGGCCTGCAGGGGAGGAAGCAATTTCTGCCAACACCTCCAGATCCTTCAAGACAACCTGGGGAGACAAGCGGAGGATGAGTGATAAGCTCCCTACTGCATGCTGAGCTGACCTGGCAGAGGTGAGGTCAGAGTTGAGGGGCAGCCTGCAGGGCAGGGAGAGGCCTGTAGACTGTTGGCTGTGAAAGTGCTTGGGAGAGTGTGATGATGCTATGGATTAGGAGACCACTGATGGTGGTGTCTGGGGGCTCTGGAGGAAGGAAGCTAGAATCAGGCTGGTGAATCCCTTTCCCATAACCTTCCTCTCTGTCCTAAGCAGGGATAAGCATGATACACATGAGATGCAGGTCTTGGAACCAAAAGTACATAATACACAGGCTGTATCTTATGGTCCTTGTGCTGTGTGAGGCCTTGGAGCTTTTCCATCCTTGTCCACACAACATGTTACTGTAGACATGACACTGGGCTCCCCAGAATCCAAAGGGCCCTCCATAGTTGGGGTATAACCCTGACCTCCAGGGCTAAGGGCTCCCTAGTGTCCAGACAGGTGACTCCCAGGTGTCCTACTTAGCCTCAGATGGGGTGAGGTCTCTTCAGCTCACTACTGGCCTGCTGAGCTCTTCTAAGGAGCATGGGGTCAGGCCAGAATAGGAGTACAAGTTATGCTGCTGGACATCCCTGTAGCTCTGGAAGATGTACCACTTTCACCTGGCACTGGTGCTTCAGGATGGCAAAGCCTATCCCATTATGGCTTTCCTACAGTAGGTAGTGGGGAGAGGCCAGGGATATGAAGGGTTGGGAAGGCATCACCATAGATGCTGGCATACGCTTTTGTATAAATGTCATTTGCCCCAGTGGCTACTGAACTGCCTGTCCTAAGACCGGTGCTCCCCATGCCCTCCCACTGCAGATACTGGCAGCTTTCTGCTCCCTGCTCATCAGCTCTCAATGGGTCTGTGACTTCAGTGATAGAGTGGTAGAGACAGGCAGATCCTGGAGGCTCACTGGCCAGGCAGTCTAGCTGAAATGGTGAACTTCAGGTTCAGAGAGACCCTGTTTTAAAAAATAAGACGGAGTAGGGTGTGGAGGTGCACACCTTTAATCCCAGCAGAGGCAGCAAGGGGATCTCTGTGAGTTCAAGGCCAGCTAGGGCTACAGGGAGATAGTATCTCAAAAAAGACATTTTTTTAAAAAAAAAAAAAAAAAAAAAAAAAAAAAAAAAAAAAAAGGATGGATAAGGCATAGCAGGTTAAAGGTACTTGGCTGCTGAGTCTGATGACACAAGTTTGATCTATGGAACCTATATGGTAGAAAGAGAGAACCAATTTCTGCAAATTGTCCTCTGACCTCCACATACATGTCATGGTATATGTGTGTGTGCATGCGCGTGTGCACACATGTGCGCACGCACACACACACAGAGCCACTTTGGGCTACGTAAAAATCAAAATTCAAAGTATGCTTTCTCCTGGATGAGTATCACTTTCGTACCACTGTAAGAAAAAAAAAAAACCCAAGCTGGACCACTATGAGTAGAGACTATATGTATACTAAAGCCAGGGAATTCTATGTGTCTTTAAAGGGCTATTTTTATCTTAAAACATACACACACATGAAAGACATGGCCTACCCATTTCCGAAGTGTCAAAAGTGGCTCCATCAGTGTTGGTAACAAGCCACTGCCTCACCCTACACTGCTCAGTTCCCACTATTCCAAGTGTCCTCTTGGCCAGCTTTGCTGTACCCATGTTGAAGCTCCCTTTGTTGCTGGCCCTTTCTGACCCCTTGGTCTTCTCCAAGTTGTATCATGTGTTCAGCATGTGATCTTAACAACTGCACTGTGGCCACCTCCACGCTGGCCATGGCATCACTCACACACATGCCACCTCCCACTGCCCCACATCGACAGACCCTGTCTGAGTCCCTGCTCTGTATCAGAGCTACACTAGGTACTGGGCTGTAGGAATGAGTCAGAGTCACCTTGTCTACGGTTTGTGGGCACAAGTACTCCTTGCAAAGAGCCCAGCACTCGCCTTTCCTTCCATGCACTGGAATTTTGGGTTTTACTTGCTCCTGGAATAGTTTTATTTGTTGGTTTGGGAGAAATGGATCTGCAGTGGTTGAAAAACATAGTTGCTACACAGCCCTGTCAAGGTGGCAGGAGCTCTGCATCAGTCTGAGAACCTGAGGCCCCTAGGTGGGCTTGGGCAGAGGGCCTAGGTCTCTGTTTCCACAGAAGGAGGAGTCTCTAGCAGGCTCTTTGCTCCAGAAATGGAAGAGACAGAGGAAGGAGGGTGTGGTGGGGAAGCAGATGGCACAGTAGTGACAAAGAGCCCTGAAGGATGAGTAGACCCCAGCATCCAACTCATCCAGGTACTCCATTTCCCAAGCAAGCCACTTTCCAAAGGCCAAGGAGGGGAAACTAGATTAGCGACTTGGGGTGGGGAACAGGGTGGGGTGATTCACCCAAAATTAAACAGTGAAGTAAGAATCAAGCCAAGAGTTCCATAAAAAATTTAAAGAGTTACCATAGGTATACCCCAACTCCTAGGTGTTACCAAGAGAATGGCAAATATATGTCCACACAGACACTTCTATGTGAACAGCCCAACAGCTGAAGAGAAAAGTTCCTTTTCTGATAAACAGAATGTGGTAATCCATCCTAAGGAACATGACCTGGCCATAAAAAGAAATAGGGGCACAGGGAGATGGCTCAGTGCATAATAAAACCTTGCTGCGTAAACCTGATCATTTGAGTCTGGCTCCCAGAATACGTGTAGAAAGCCAGATGTGGTAGGATTCCCTTGTAATCCCAGCACTCCTATGGTGAGATGGGAAACAGAGACAGGAAAACAGCCTGGAAGCTCATAGGCCATATGTGTCACATGGGCAGAAACAAGAGACCCTGGCTCAAAACAAGGTGGAAAGTGAGAACTGATCCTTGAAAGTTGTCCTCTGATCCCACATGTGCACCACGGCATGTGCTCACTCACACCACACATATCACACAAATTTAAAAAAGAAGAAATGGGATATTGGCCTGTGCTACAGGAGGAATTTCATAAACACTTGCTAAATGAAAGAGCCAGACACAAAAGGCCACAAACTGATGATTCCATTCACACAAGGCAAGTCTAAAAAGATGGAAGTACATTTGTGGTTGCAAGTAGCTAGGGAAGAGACTGCTCATGTATAGTTCCTTTTTTGCGGTGTGTGTGTGTGTGTGTGTGTGTGTGTGTGTGTGTGTGTGTGTGTGTGTCTTTTTTTTGAGACAGGGTCTCCCTATAGCCCCAGCTGGCCTGGCACTCACTATGTAGGCCCGCCTGGCCTCGATCTCAGAGAGGTCTGCCTTGCCTCTGCCTCCTGAGTGTGGGGACTAAGGGTGTGTGCCACCATGTCCCCCCTCCCTTTTTGTGGGTGGGTGAAGATAAAATGTTCTGGAATTAGACAGTGACGATTGTACAACTTTGTGAAAATATTTTAGAAACTGCTGAGTTTTGGTACATAACTATGTGGAAGAAAAAATAATTAAGCCAAATCCTCAAATCAGTACCTGAATTCTCAGTTCAATGGTACATGCAGAGAATGCTCTCTTGCTGCAGCCTCCACCCAAGGTGTTGAGTTTTTCTGATGCCATATGACCTGATAGCTGACTCAGACTCAGAGTAGAGACAGCAGATCGAGGAGGTCACCCAGTCTTTCTTACACTTTGCTTTTGTGAGCCCTGTCACTCTTCTTAGGTCTGTCTGTACAGGTGGACAGAGGCTCATGGTCTCACCCCAGAGGTGAAATGTACCAAATGAGAAAAGGATGAGCAAACAAGGCTGGCAAGGGCCTGGTACAGAATACAGGAGGCTGGTGCTGGCAAGATCTCCAATACTAGGACAGGCACACCGACCCACTAGGTATCCAGCTGGTTCTTAATTCCAACTGCAAGGATGCCTGGGAAGAACCAATAGCATGCAAGAGGCCTGTCCTGTGCAAGATGCTGTCTACTCAAAGTGACTCAAGAATCAGGCTACAAGGAACAAGGAGGTTGGAGGAGCAAGCTGTACTTGTTTCTGGCCAGAATGGACACCCTCAATCTCCGTCGGCATCACCTTGTACGCTACATGATCCAGCTCTGGTCCCTAAGCCCAAGCCTCTTAATAACACTACTCAGAGCTTTGTGGCTAGACATTCTTGACTTCTAACTCCCACCCTGGATCAGCTGATGTCATCCAACACTGCTTTCCTCTTCCTAACATCTACCAAGCAGCTACCATGATTTTGCTCTGGCTGTAGGAAATGCAGGGCTGGCCAGGACAGGCTCTGCCTTTGATGAGTCACAGGCTGTAGGGATATACACAACTAAGTATTTACTGATACCAGAGCCTCTGAGCCTTAGGACCCAGCAAATTGGCCTGAGGGGAGCCTATGGAAGTACTGAGCATGAGTTTGCCAAAGGGGTGTGTAAGTGTGTGTGGCGGGGGATGAGGGGGACATCTGAAGTATTCTCTTAAATAGCATAAGCTGCTTATGGATGCAGAGAACAACTTGGCACATTCCTGGAAACTAAGCTTGTGATGGTTGAGCTCTAGAGTAGGATACGGAGCTAGAGGGGGCGTGTGGCCAGAAATCAGGCTCCAGGAGTAGGCTAGGGAAGACTGCTTATGATCCATACCAAGGAGTCTGGATTTCATTTTGCAGGTGGTGGCATCTCAGTTTTCCCATATGTGCAAATGGAGGCTTGACCATGCAAGGGTGCCCTGAAGCCTGTGAGATCAGCTGGCTCTCTGAGTCTAAGAACACAACCAACTAGGGTCTGAAAATATTATGGAGGAAGTGTCTATAGAAGACATGTATAGACTTTTTTCTTATCACTTTTCCTAAAAAATGCAGTATAATAACCATTTACATAGCATTTACATTGTATTGGGTATTATTTTAAGTCATTCAGAGACATTTAAAGTGTATGGAACAATGCATGCAGATTAAATGCAAATACTGATTTGAGCATTTTCAGATTCTAGTATCCAGAGGGTCCTGGAACCAAACCCTTATGGGCACTAAGGAATG